ATATATATATGATAGACACACACACAAAGAAACTAAAGTCACAATCAATCAGATCATCAGTTACCAGCAGCTGCAGACCTCTGTGCTACCATTTCCGTAGTTAATTTTACACTTACTAAAAGGTTTTGACAAAATTACGCCATTTTCGAGCTTACAAAAACAAATAAACATTTAATATAACATCTAAGTACCTGTTTTAAGTAAAGAGCTTAAAACCTTTTTAGCAAAAAAAAATAAAACGTTTAGCTAATGTAGCCTGTTAGCATCATGAAAGAAAAATGGAGAAAAAGAAAAAGAAGCTATTTACAACATATAATGTCTGAATACTCCGTGTTCTCCACCGTCAGATTATGATATACATGCCTATTAAAATACAATGTTTAATTTGCAATAGACAAATAAATCTCTTACCATTTTTCAGCTTGAAGGGAGAAGGCTAAAGACGGAAGTAGCTACTTCTGCAATTTCCGCAAACACACCGGAAATAGAAAAAAAAGAGGTTTAGAAAAAAAAATTGAGGTTGATGTGTGAAACCTCTCCTGTTCTATCAAGTTCAAAATATTAATACTAACAGTAGGTCCGGTTAGAAGTGTTTATCCTATTTGCAGGATTAAGTGTAGAGTCTAAAAATGGACAAACTAGGAAAAAAAAAGACTTGCTTGGTGTGCACTCAAAATTATAATTTGAGCTAAATTATGTAACTCAAATACAAAAACACTTGAATTTTAGTCCCCCTTAAAACTCAATGTCCTCCACACTAGGGTTCAGATTCTCAAGAAGTTAACCTCCTCCTGAGACACTCTGCACCCTAATGTGCAGATAACATATTTTATAAATGCATAGAGGATACACTTCAGTAAGTTTAATACTGATTTCCTTAATAGGTAGCTGTGAAAAAGAAAGTCGTCCTAAATTTCATCAGAAGGTGATTCCTTAATTCTCGTATTACTATACTTATCAAATAACCTACAAATGACAAGATTATAACAAATCTTCTGAAAATCTGCTGGCTTTTGGTTATGGTGCCAAACCCAGGATTTTCCCACATTAAAATAATTCTAGAGACATCAATGCTTGGAGCAAAGCAATCTCGTGGGGTAAAAATGAACTCTGAATTAGATGGAGTTCAACCTTTGAGGGGGTTGAACATTAAAAAATGCATGATTTTAAAATCTAGGATACTAATATTGAAAACTAACAAAGTTTAGCCAAGTATTTTTCAACCCTGGTCCTCAAGGCACGCCGCCCTGCATGTTTCCCTGCTTCAACACAGCTGATTTCAATTGGTAACTGATTGCAGTTCAACAAAAGCCTGTTAATCATCGGAATCAGGTGTGAAAACAGGGAAACCTCTAAAACATGCAGGACTAACCTGAACAGCTTGCATTTGTTTAATTTGCAAACTTTTTGAATTTTTAAAAAGTCTTTGGAATTACATCCACAAAAACACCATCAACTAATTTTGGCTTTGCAATAATGAGGCTGTATGGATATCTACAAATTAAAAACAAAAATAGTGCTAAACTATTGATATATTCAAGAATTTTATTATTTGACATTCAAATTTTCTTTTACAACATTATTGGCATTGTAGTAATGCTTTCTGTAAGGAAAACAAAGAGTAATACAAGAGCAAATGGTTGAATATTTTCTTTAAATGGAAAGAAGTAACAGATTTTTTTTAATTCAGTTCTTTACCATCTATACACCGTGATACACAATTCATTAAAAATTTTTAAGTACTTAGCCAACCTGAGCTACAAGCGGATAGATAGAACAGCAACAACAGAGACATGACAGAAGACAAGTGTACGCAGTGTTGGTGACGCGTATGGTTTAGCACTGAGATGTCTGAGGAGGACATAACATACAGCAGTAAGAGTAGCAGTACAAGAAATGTTGCATTAAAGGCAAACTTTATATATCAACAAATTAACATTTTACACGGTGACTGCCTTATCAGCTTTTATTTAACACAGTAACATATGTTCCAGCAGTGTGTGAGGCAGTTTTAAATCCTAATCCTGAAGTGAAAAGGCAATACAATCACCAGATTGTTGTAATGATTCTCAGGAGATACTTGAAAGAGGGGAAAAAGCAAGTAGAAATCTATAGCTTAACATAAAGGCATAATAGGAGATGTTGCCCAAAAATCACTCGCCCCTCTTTAACATTTAAAGGCAAAAACAAATCAAAAGTGCAAATAAACATGTTTCAGATTGGCTTGGAAATAACAGCCAAATAAAACATATGTTGTTCTATGGATTATTTCTAAGAGGACAAAAGAAAACAAACAGAAAGCAGGGGATTAGATATTTGAGATGAGGTTTCTTGAGATAAGCTAATATCGTCTCACAATACAGAGCATCAGCCAGTCCATCCAGAGTTCCCAATCGCACTCTTTGAACATGGCTCCATCTTGCCCTCTCAGTGTGAGTCATGCCTGACAAATATAGTGCAGGACAGGAGTTCGATTGCTAACAAGTCATTGGATACAAGGTCAGGAGGGTTGTTTCTCTTCTTTTCTGTGATCTTACACCACTGGATTTGTCATCATTTTAAGTAAGTGGTCTAGTGTGTTAATTTGGGTAATAAATGGTGGTGGTGGTGGTGGTGGGGGACATACATCCATGTGCAGCGTGTCAATGGAATGAGCAGTGTGAGAGGAAGACCAGAAGGGAAGTCGTTTCCCTGGGAGCGAGGGTGATGTTGATGGAACAAGGTGATGACAGGGCGTTTCAGAAAAAGCTGAGGGAGAAGATGGTCCAAGGTTGGCTCTCAGCAGCTGCAGCTTTCTGGAGAAGGTCTAGCTCTGTCGTTCCCGCCCAGCTTTATGGGCTCTGGGAACTCATTATACAGCTCCACCTCTGTCTCCTGCGAGGCATCAAGAAGAAACAGTACATGTAAGAAAAGCTCCACCATTCTTGTTTTACAAATGCACAGATGATCTCCACTGTCTTCTTTCATTTTAAGCATGTGTAAGTCACCTGTTTGAGGGCGTTGCGTGCAATTGTCTGGAATGCTTGTTCTACGTTGATGGCTTCTTTGGCGCTGGTCTCGAAGTAGGGGATGTTGTTTTTACTCTGACACCAAGCCTGAGCTCTTTTAGTCGTCACCTAATTGCAAAACGAAGGGTATTATTTGTCAATAAAACTTTTGATGGTTTCTTGTGATAGTGAATAATGTGCAACAAAATGTTGGTAAAATTATGAATTATAATAAAAAGCAACATCAAACAAAGAGCAGAATAGACAGATGCATTTCTTTAAATTGTCCCTGCTGTGTGAAGGTTTTATGCAGGTATAGTGAGCAACATTGCATAATATATTGATGATCCACCAGACAATATTAAATCACAGACTAATCAAGGTTTGCTGGCGTGAACGGGGTTCCAAAAAGTTTCAAAATTTGAAATTCCAAATGTTTTTAGACTTACCGGTAAATTTCTTCAAATTTTCTGTGTTTGACATTCAGGTAAAAACATATGTAGAGTAAATTAGAAATCCATTCTGATTCTAAACATGTTAATTATTTGGTAAATATTTGTCAGAGGGCTGTAGTTCAACAATAGAGGCAGATTACAGATTAATTAGAACTATAAAGAGGATTCGTGACAAAGTTATAACCTTTTGTATTCCTGTCTTTTTTACGACATCAATGTAATCAACAAAGAATCAAACTATAAAGCTTATTCAACATCACAGCAGTCAGGCTGTATCATTTTCTTTTTTTTCCGTACCTATTCATAGGAAATACTAAAAACTAATACTTTGCTTTTCCATATGATTTAAGGCAGCATAGAAACCATAGTAGTTATTACAGGAAGTGATTCCTGTCTACAGATAAATCTTGTGCAAACAATTTTTGTAACAAACTAATTGTTTGCAAGTTAAACTTGAACAACTTTTTTTTATTTTGACCATTATTAAAGTATCTTCTAATTTTAAGCCATATGCTGACAGGAGCAACAAACATTTACCTGCACAAGAATGTAAGCTATGCACTTTAACTACTACAGATAAAAAAAATGCTTGCACTGATTCTTGTAATCTCAYCGAGCGCACTTGCATTCCTTACAGAGCGGTTGAATCCTATCAACTTTTACTTAAATAGATCATTTCGGAACACACATCACTTATAGCAGAATGTTTTAAGCAGACTATGAAGAGCTACAGCAGATTCTGAATACATTTTCTACACTACAGTTTTTAAATCAGGGTTAATGGACCCAGTCTCTGACTCAGGAACCTGATAATAACCTGTCTATTCTCCAAGTCGATCTTGTTGCCCAGCACCACGAAGGGGAAGTGCTCGGGGTCTCGAGGGCTGGCCTGGATTAGAAACTCATCCCTCCAGCTGTCGAGTGTCTTGAAGGTATTGGGTGCAGTCACATCAAACACCAACACACAGCAGTCTGCTCCACGGTAGAACGCCACACCCAAAGACTGAAACCTCTCTTGGCCAGCTGTGTCCCAGATCTTAAAGATACAAGAAAGAACTAAGTTAATACAGCAGACAATACAGAACAATGATATCAAACTCAGAATTCACAGGGGAAAAAAAATACAATAAAACAAAAACAAATTTAATGTATTCCCAAAGTTTGAGTTGCAAACGTACCTGCATTGTAACAAGCCGGTCGTCCACCATTACCTCCTTGGTCAGGAAATCTGCTCCTATTGTTGCTTTGTACTGGTTACTAAACTTTTTGTTCACATACTGGTTCATTAGGGAGGTTTTTCCAACACTGAAGAAACAAAAAGTTGGGAGATAACAACTGAAAAATAAGAATACACTGGATAATAACAAGGGATACAATGCTTTGACAAACGAATCAGGAGTAAATGACAAATTGCTTGTCTTTATCTACACTGCATTTTTCACACTTTTAAGCTGTCTTTGTTAAGTTTTATCAAACATAACAACAGAAGGTTAACACAAACATGACCAATATACAATACTCATACACTCAAAGGAATGAAATTTGAATGAAATTTTTTATGGGGCCAAAATATTTTTTGGGGCCAGAATAAAGTCATTCTGTAATTTGTTGTAAGTTCATGCACCATGTTGKTTTTGTTTTTTGAGCAAGGGGATGTTCAAGCACGGCTCATTTTATACACCAGTAAAAAACACATATCTTGAATTTGGAAAAAAAAATCTTATTTTATTTATCACTAAAAAGGGTTCAGTGAATGTGCATATGAAACCGGTGGGTTCGGTGCCTCAAAAGAGTTTAAGAACCACTAGTCTAAGGGCTCTGTCACACTACAACATTTAAGACAATATGCTGACTCTTGTGATTATTCTCATATCAGCAATATGTTTGGTCTAAAAATTAGCATTACAGTATGTTTAGGTCCATAAGAGGCTTCCAGTATATTTTCTTTAAATTCCATCTTCAGCTTAGACACCTTTAGTGTTTGACAAACCTTTCATAAGTTGTCAAAAGTTGTTAAAAACATTTTAATGTGACAAGGCCTTAACTGCGCCTCTAAATAAAAAGCACTGATTAAAAAAATGTACATAAACATCTTAATTTGTTGATAGTATTCTCTGCTTGGAAACAGCCTATGGCAACTCCACCTAACAAGGAAGTAACTCAGAGAATGCACAACAACAGCAACAAAATCTAGTTGAAAGAAAAGAAAGCCACGATAATCCCAAACTATTTCTTAGAACAGAACTAGTTAGCTAGTTTTGACATGAAAAAATTAAAAAAAAAAAAAAAACATGATCCCATGTAGTGACTCACCCAGAGTCTCCAAGAATGATGACTTTCAAGAGCACTTTCTTCCTGGAGGTCATTTTTCCACAGCTGGAGACACAAAAAGTAAAAACATGTCACAAACAAGAATTTTTTTTGTTTGTTTGTTAACATTTATTCAAACGTGGTCTATAAAAACAGTACAAATAAGTGTTGACTTTTCAGGCACCTATGCTACTAATTTCAGTCATGTGCTTCGTAAGTTGTTGAGAAAATCACGAGGAATCTCTCACACACAAAGAAGTTACTTCTTCTATGAGTCAACTTTTTGTCAATATTGCTATCACCAATATGACAGTCTGCTAACAAACATGCTCTGCTCTACWCTATCAAACATAACAGACTGCCTCTAGACTCCATGTCAACCTTACATTTCCCAACTAAAACTTACTTATAGCAGTCAGTTGTACAAACCCGTGATAGTACATGACGCAAAAATGTTAACTATGCAGTAGGCTTATTAGATAACGTTAAAACTTAACTTGGTCAAATGAGGCAAAGTTGGTATTTTTGTGTTTAAACATAGCCCTGTTCATCCAACATAAACAGTGGATGGAATGGTGGTGATACACGAGTTAAATTTATCATTTTAGCCAGGAAGTTTGATACAGAATGAAAGTAAAGTAGTACAGTTTTGGGCAACCCTGTACAAGAAAAAAAAAACATTACATATACTGGAGCTTTTTTGTGAAGCTAGTACAAAAAAATAAGATTAGATTTAAATAAATAAAAAGCAATAAAATATACAATACAGGATATGCCATTTCAGTACCCTAATATTTCCTTATGATTAAAGATAATACACATTTTTTCAGGTTATCTTACAAACTTTCACCAAAGGAGGTTTTTAGCAGCCTCTGACCGCTGGACAGAAACTGAAGTTTTTAGTGATTAAAACTTAGAAAYGCTGTTTTGTCCATCAAATTCATGCCCTGGGCTTTTTAGATTTCTCTCTAAACTGTTTTTTACACAAGCAGATAACACAGTCTAATGGTTTTATGGTAGCCTGTTTTATTTCTTTACATGTTTATACAAAATTAATCTCCATTGTATTGCTTAGAAAAACTTTGCATCCGTGTGTACAATATAAGGACTGATAAAATTACATGTACATCTTGTACAAAGACATTTGTTTAAGCATTTATATCATTCTGAATGTATTCATTAGAACAACTTTGTAGTTGGGGGGGGGGGTACTAAAACACAATGATATGCTGAACAATTTTAAACAGAAACCTTGACCACATCCCATGAAACAAGTACGACACTCGAATGACAACGATACCATGAAGCACAGATTAGCTGACAGAGGTAGGAATAGAAGCAGCAGCAGCTAACTAAACTCTAGGTGTGTTCAGACTGTTGTCACATGATTACCGAGAGAACTAAGATTGTCAGGTATTTTTCCTCTGACACACACTAGAAAAATGGACACTGGTTTTTAAATGTCAAACGTGGGAACCTTAACAAAATTTGGACACATCTAACAAAACTGACATGATTTCAATGTAACTTAAACAACAACAAATGGCAGATTTGTAGGTTTCTGATATTTGTGGTTGTAGTTTGTGGTTGTTTATTGTAATTTGGCACAATGTTTAAATTGATTTATAATGGTATAAATCTGTACAAATGTTTTGGTTTAAATAAACCAAACTTTTTTTCTGCTTTAGCAAGACAATATCTTTGTTCATTCAACCACTCAGCCATAGCTCAGTGTTTTTAATACAGTGAAACTGCACTTGTGATTGTTACTCATGAATTTATATTGAGAAGTGTGTGTTCACACTGCCACGTTTTATACTTGAACACATCCAAGACAAGAACAGCTAAACCTGAACGTCAACGTGGATTACMAAAACACACACAGGCAAACGCTAAACTCAACACAGACTTGGTAGCAGAGTTCAGATGCTTCACACAGATTCCCTCTTGAGTTGAGTCAGTTTTTAAAGTTCCCGGTTGGTTAGTTTGGAATTCAGAGAYAGAAGCTCCAGCAGTTTTTAAAACGATAGAAACACAAACGATAAAAGAAAGTGATAGCATCACACTGTAACTGCATCAGCTCAACAAAAACCTTTGTGTTTGAATAGCACTAGATTCCATCTTGTATTATTTCCACATCAGAGGGTTTGCAACAACAGAATTATTTTAATTCACGTCTAAAAACTTGTAAATCAAACAAACATTATACTTTTATTGCGATCCATTTCCATCCTTTTCGTTTACCTTGTGTGAATGCTAAACTTTATTTCTAAAGAAACTTTAGATGGAGCAACTGATATAATCATAATAAAAGATAAGGCCAAACACCTATTGCTGATAGCAAAGGGTTAGTCAAGTTGCAGCAAAAGTGTGGTGATCAAAGGTGGGTCCATCAATACAAATCAAAGTGACATAACAAACTTGCAACATTTTTAATGAGCAAAAGTGACAGAAAAATTATAAAAGAAAGTAAAACGATAATCTACAAAACGACTGAGTCACAAGCGAAACTAAAAGCATTTTTCTTTTCTTAAATCACAGGATACTTCGTCTGTCTGAAAACAGAGACGTGACACTTCCCAGCTGATTGTCAACGATAATGTGTCAAAAGTCGACTCTTGTAAACATTAAAAATTGATCTTATTTTTGAGTAAGGTTCAAAAATCATTCTAAAAATATTTACAACCCCTTATGACCGTCCCAGTTTCTCTAGATGCATGATGTAAAATGACACTATTCTGAGAATAATGATGATCCACTGTTAGCTGAGGAAAATAAGCTTTCTTCTCTTTTGTCATGTGTTACGTTCGGTTACTCGGTTCTCCTTCCTTGTTGGAGTCGACCCAAACTAAGGAGCCAAAGGCAGGCCTTTTTTTTTTAAACCAAGCAGCTTCTCGAAAAATACACTGCATCACCATCATTGAAAGTGTAGCGTCAGGATAAACCGGACCCCGAGCATTAGTCGAGAAGTAAACCACATAAACAAAGCAYTACTGTTTAAACACTTACTTTTAGATTGAACCTCACGAAAAAGAGGCGACTTCTTCACCGTGACGGAGCCGGGAGCTAACTAGCTGTTATTGTTCACGGAAGCTAGTTGCGTTAGCTAGTTAGCTCGCAAGAGCTTAACTCGTTGGGTTAGATTTTTACTGAACAATGCCTCGATTCGGACTTTAACAAAGAAAATAAGGCTTCCCGTAGTGTGACCAACAAGAAGAGAAACTGCGTCTTACGTATGACGAGGCAATTTATCAATAAATTGTTTAGAAATTTGGCACTATGCTAAAGAGCTAGCCTGTCTGCTTGCTGGCCAGTCAGCTAACTGCCTTCCGTTCTGTCTTCCCCTTTCACTTCCTTCTCCAAAACAACGTCTGCGTCTTACGTCACACGCAGCCCATTTTCATTGGCTGAAAAAAACAAAGTGAAATCAAGCCTTTTGTTAAAATATAAGTGCGCATGTCCAAGAATACTTTAAAAATTTCTGTTTCTTACCTCGTTTTTTCATAAAAAAAGTTAAAAATCGGATTCCGCGTGTTTCACTGCAGTGATTTACTCTCAAAACTGATCATCTACCAGTAGAGGTCAGTGTCAACTAATTTTGTCAGACCTCGTAGCTCAGTAAAGCCATCTGATATGTTATGAGAAGACACTTAAAAGCACAAAAAACATAAATGTAAGTGGCCTTTTGCATTGCGTTTTGATTGTAAACCAATTTCTACGTATTTCTACAACAGATAAAAACAATTCAATTCAAATTCAAAAATACTTTATTAATCCCAGAGGGAAATTAGGTGTTGTTGTAACTCATTTAACTAAAGAGATATTTAGTGATGTTTTTGAAGATGCAGCCATACAACTTTGTTTTTAACAGTTTTAGGATCATTGTGAGGACTTATGAGAAACTTGTTTCAATACATTTTGCCGATGGAAAAACAGAATTGAATGAAATGTTACATAAATTTATTCACAGAGGTTTCTTTTTTGCAAATTCTGTGAATAACTTTGAATGTATCTTCAATTTGGTCTACTTAGATTTTGAAACTAAGAATAGAAATTTACATAAAGCTTTCATTAACCATGCACTTGAAGAAAAAAAACTGTGTTAATTATTAACTGTACTACTAGTGATTGAAGTCTGAAGATTTCCTGCTCAGTTTTCATGTCCCCATGTTTGTCCTCCTGCTTACTGGGAGTGTGCCTCTGCAGAATCAATGACTGGGATGACTGGTGTTTGGAGAGAAATTCCTGCCTTTTTGCACCTATTGAATTTGGAGTCTTTGCAGCTGCCTTGGAATTCAGTTTGTACAGACAAACGCTGCAGCTCTAAAGTCAGGTGAGCGAGGAAAATGTTCACAGGAGGGAAAAGCCAAATGCTCCAAGTTTCTGCTGGATTTTCACCTTGGTGACCAAAGGTGGGAGGTGGACAAAGTCAGTACTGAACACACTGATGATTAATTAGATGTATAGGTCTATAAAATCTGAGTTAAATTATGTCACACTCTTTTAAATTAAAGTCAAAATGTATGTGTGCAAGGATGCATCTCTGTGTGGGTGTGTGGGAGTGTAAGTTAAGGAGATGAGATGGTGTGTGTGTGTTGGGGGTGGGTGCATTGGTCTGTGTCAGACAGCAAAGAGCATTTATCTAGGAATCCAAGGCAATGTTACCTCACTAAAACGGAACGAGCAGGACCAAGAACGAGGAGAGAGATGATCTGAGAAAATATATAAAGAAGGAAGAAAACTGGATGGAGAGGTGAACAACACAAACATCTAAACAAAAGGGACAAACTGGGAAGTATTTTTTCACCTGAAAGGCAACTTTAAACCTTTTTTTTTCTTTTTCGTTTTTCTTTTTTTTTCAGTGAATTATCATCAAAGCATTTAGCCTTAATTAGCCATTTTTGAAACATAGCTTTTTTTCCCTATGATTCCTCTAAACTTTCTCAGCATGCTTCCTCTGCTGTCTCTGTATGTGGGAGCGCTGCTGTCCTCAGATGCGTCTCCAGTCTGCTTACATCCACCTTGCAAGGACAGATTAGTGGCGGCTGCACCCGTCTCACCAGCAACCAGAGCAGCAGCAGTAAGTATAGTGGCCTGTRAGGGTCAAACTGGGACAAGTGCATGCAGTCTGGGAGGTTTAGTTCCAACCATCTCAGATGTTCCTCTGAGGATGGAGCTCAGAAAAGACTTCTCCCGGGTTCAGAGTGCATCCTGAGCTCAAAAACTGGGAAAAATCAGGTTTATTGTTTGCACTTTTTACATCTTCTATTGTCATTTTAAGAGAAATAACATAATGCATTAGTTACTCAGCTTTATACGATTGCCCACTGACGGTAAAGGCAAGCCAAAGCAGATCGTTTTTTTTATGTGCCAGTGAGAGTAAGCAGCAGGATATCAAGGCACAGACACTAAACTTGGCATCCACCCCATACAGACATGGAGCTATTAATGTCAGCAATCAAAGCAGGGATACATTTAGGTCTGCTTTTTTTAAAACAATCTCGTCATATGGTTGTGCTGAGCTCATGCAGCGACAGGTGTGAGGGACAGGACCACAATGGGTGATGTAAGTGTGAGAGACAGAAAATGGAGCAAAGAATTTTGGGATTAACCAACTCTCAAACTGAAGGAATATTTTCAATGAAGGCTCTTTTTAATCAACTTTCTGAATACARATACAGAACATTTGATAAGCAATCTGACAAAAGAGTCTTATTTTGATATTTCCTCTAATGTTAAGTGATACTTAATGTGCACAATTGTCCTCAGGAAATATAGATGATCTTATGCTATGGCTGTGGCCATACAAGTCCAAATAATGTGCAAACATGACAGTTTGCAGAGCATAGTGCACAGACTAGGTTTTTAAAATTATAGTTGTAACACTTTAAGCATAATCATGTTTCACAAATGTGTGTGTTTTTTATTATATTTTTTTAATGAGAGGATTTACATTTGTTGAATTGAATCCAAGTTGTACAAAAATGATTYACTGTTTATTTTTTGGTCTTTTAGATAAGAGTTAGTAAATCTKTAACACAACCCAACTCTTCTCTTTTCTCACCAACTCCTGCAAAAACTCTTGTTAATTTTGACAGTTAAATGTCCCATATGTTGTGACTTATTCTAACTCATTTATGTCTCTGTAGGAATCAATTTTTTCATCTAATAAATTGGTTTTAAATTGACAGTCCAAGTYTATCAGTGATAGAAGTACATTTACATTGACTTCACTTTTGGATTTTATTTAAGATGTTGTTTTCCCCTCTATGGTTTATGGTTCTAAAGTCTGTAATGTAACCAACCTGTTAATAACTTGTTTGCACTGTTTTACAGACTGAAGGTATCAAAGAACGCTTGATTCAGCTGCAGCGCTGCATGCGTTCTCTCCAGGAATCAGGGGCTGCCAGGAGTCACGAGGGCCAGGAGAGCAACTCTCTTGGGGCCATCCTGGCATTAATGGCAGCTGTGCTGACAGAGTGTGACCTCCACTGTCACAGCCAAACACTTGGAGCGATGGTCAAGCGACTGGGTGAGTTTAACACATTTATAACCATCACCTCTGCAGCACACAGAATGAACAAAAAGCACGCACAGCAATGCCAGGGCAGTCACTCCCCCACACATAGTAAACAGAAGTCTGCAAAGTGTTGGTGAGCGGATAGGAATTTGACTGCATTGGCACAAACGGAGTATAAAAAAACACAGCTTGAAATTTGAAGAAGTGTCTATTTTACAGCCCTTTTGGGAACAGCTTAAAATAATCTGAGTCTCGTTGATAATCGAATCTCTTTGGGTTTGACAGAGAATGCTGCAGTGGGAAGAGAGGGTGAAAGAGATCTGCTGCTTTTCCTCAAGAGCATCACCCAATATCCACCCACAGGTGGGACCAGTGAGTGTAGTCAAATGAACCGTGGCTAATCATTGATTTGAATGAAAATYATCCCATGCGTGGCTTTCAGTTACCCCCACCGAGAGATTACATCCTCAGGACTGTGCGGAGATTTACAGGCTTGGGATCAAAGAGAATGGGATCTATACAATCCAGCCTGATCTCCATGGGCCAGCATTGGAGGTAGTGTTTCACATTTAGCTCGGCCACAAAACACACGGCCTTCCTCCCTGTTTACTCTTCATCTCGTGGTGATCTGAAAGCTATCTGTGGAAAATGAAGGCTTTATCAGATCAGCGTTTTTTTGTTTTGGCTCAGGCTAAATGTGACATGGAGACAGCAGGTGGCGGCTGGACGGTAATCCAGAATCGGCAGGATGGCTCAGTGGACTTCAACAAGACGTGGCAGGAATACCGGGAAGGCTTTGGCAACTTGCAGGGAGAGCACTGGTTTGGTAATGCGGCGCTGCACGCCCTCACCTCCACCAGACAACACCAGCTTCGCATCGAGCTGGAGGACTGGTACCAACAGAAACGCCAGGCTACCTACAACAACTTCAAAGTGGCCTCAGAGGCACAGAGGTGACAGACAAGTACATTTGATGATCGTGATCTTTTAAAGTATGGCTCTATGAAAAGATCACAAACAATTACCAGTTATAAATAGCTCTTGAATAGTTTGGAGAAATAGAGTTTAATTTTGACTAGCAGATAAGCCAAACATAACCATGACTAAAGTGAATCCCTTTTATACTTGTTTCYCCATTGCCCATAAGGATCAACACTGATTTTATATCATCATGTGGATAGAATCATTTATGGATAACATCTGCATTAACTAAGCTAAGTAAATCATTTAAGTAAGTAATTTTGTACCACCTAATGAATGTCACCAGCTTTATAACAATGTTGTATTGATTTGTTTGGCTGACAATACAATGTTTCTCGATATCACAAAGTCTGTCATGATACAACTTTGATTCAGTTCAGTTCACAAGTCTTCAGTTGATACGATGCAATAAATGATACAATGTTGGAGCACTGCAATATCATATGCCCATCCAACACAAATGATTGTGTTAGATGGGCACGTGATATCGATCCACATCTGCAGTGGTGGATATGGGCTAATTTAAAAAGTTGCACAAGTTCTAAAGCGCTTGCATTCAATAAAACTTAGCTGAAGCTAATTATAAAGCGCAAAATTGACTCCAAGTTTATCATAGTGTATTCCAGTGATAACATGAGCCACTTGCGTAATTCTGCCAACTGGAGGCACATCATTTTATTTTTTACAGTTTGTCATAATGCCGCAGTTTGGGGAGGTGATTTGTTGAAACAGACTTTTGGCTCATGGTGATAATAAAGCAGTGTGATTGTTAGTTCTGCGGCTTCTTGGTCATTTTCTTATGTTTATGGTATAGGGCTTCGGTAAGACAGCATGCCATAAATTATCGGGCACATGATGATGATATGGATCAATGCTTTGGTTTTGCTTTGTAATTGAGTCATTATTCATTTAATTGACGTATCATTAAGAATCGATGTACTGTATTGTTACACCCCCACTTAAAAAACAAATGTACCACTTCTTGCAGATATCGCCTGACAGCCCGTGAGTACTCCGGTGATGCCGGCAATGCTTTGAGTTACAGTAAGCACTACAACCACGATGGCAGAGCTTTCAGCACTGCAGACAGAGACAATGACCAGTATGTCTCTGGAAACTGCGGTCAGTACTACGGTGCCGGCTGGTGGTTTGACGCGTGCCTCGCGTCCAACCTGAATGGACGATATTACCGCGGACGTTACACCGGCGTGACCAACGGGATCTACTGGGGCACGTGGTACATCCTGACAGATGGACGAACTGGAGAGCGCTACTCCTTCAAAAGGGTGGAGATGAAGATAAGACCCCAAAGTTTTGTGGGAACAAACTAAGGCTAAGAACAATTCCCAGTGGGAAACTTACACTCACATCAGATGTATAGAGATGCTTTTTACTCTATAGATGTTTTAGTCTCTGTCTGTTTAACTCTTTGAACATTTTGTGTTACACATCATGGAGGTGGTAGCTAAATGATTAAAGTAAAAACAGCATGACCTTTTCCAGCAAGTTCTTATTCATAAGATAAATAGGCAGTGAAATGACTGAATTCAAAGATTGCAATGAAATTCCCAATCCTTAGTGCATATTTAAATGAACTCTCTGCAATGCTTTAACTAAGAAGAATGAAAAGTGACCCCACATTATATTGTACCATTCATGAGACAGAGACTCGATGAGAATATAAAAGATACATTTTTCTGCAAAACCACAGACAGCTATGTTCCTGTCTCCTTCCGCAGTGGATCCAAAGCTCACAGTTTGACTCTAAATGGAACCTTGGCCAGTTTTATCCTCACCAAACCAACACTTTCCCACACCCAATCCCTGGCACTCTGATGCAGATCGTTACAAGCTTTTCTCAGTCGTTTTACTTCAAAACAGTCCTTCCACCCACCTAGATCAGTTCACACACACACACACACACACACACACACACACACACACACACNCTTCCGCCCCATCTCGTCAGTAACTGACGTGACGGGGGTACCCTGCGCGTCAAAATCGGACGTAGAGGGAACCTTGCCAAAGCGTCACTATGTGACGACTTGGGAGTGAGAATGGGTTGATATATACAGTGTATTTGTCTGATTGTTACTTCACTATAGATAAACTGAGAATGTGTTTTTTTTCCCAAAATAGCAAAACCAACCAACATGAATGCTCTCATTGTCTAAAGTGACATGTCAATCAAACATTGCAGGCCTGAGCTCTGTCTGTGTTACTGAAGGTTTGGCTGGAAAAAAAACAATACTAAAAACACTACTGGATGATGTGAAATTTTGCAGCAGTAGTTGTTGAGAATTTGTAGATGTAAATAAACACTGAGTAAATAAACACTAAATGTTATACTTTAGTGAAGCATTGCGCTTTTCCTCCTGAAATTTGAAGTTTCTGTTTGGCTTTTGATTGCACTCATTCTAAGTTTTTTTTTTTTTTTTGATTAAAAAAATAGAGGTCACTTGTATTCAAGTGAGGATTTAGACGTTTGTGTGCCCCTTGGCTTGAAAAACTCGTAGGGTCCAATCAACATTGCTAATTTCAGTACTGATCGTGTGCACATTAACTTTGATGCTTCTATTCACAGAAAGCAGAGTTGCATATTGAACAGACGTTAAACTTTAAAGCAATGCTTAAAATCTGAAGCCCAGAAAAACTAGCACACTACCATCTAAAGCTGAGAAATTTGGTTGATTTTATGGACTCGGGTTAAATCGTTCATGTTGCCAACATTTGTTAAGAAAGTGACCCCCACCCCCTTCGCTGAGCAACGGAGAGCACTCATTAACGCATAGAGTAGTAGAGTCATTTTAAAGTGACAATACAATATTTCCTCATTGACTATAGGGGTTTTTCGGCAAATTCATTAATTCTCAGATATAACAGCAGTTTGGCTGAGAACATAGAATCCATGACTAAACAAGACCTTGAATTTGTGTCCTGATGTAAGGATTCGGATCATTAACCTGGGTTAGTCATTAATCAACCAGCTCTACTACCACCTACCAAGATTTTAAACTACATACTGTAGCTATCGCTGCATGGACCACGAGTAGAACTTCTTCTTAAAATGTGTTTTTCTCTTCAATAATAATGTAATTTTCTACAGGAATAGTAATGAAAAACAACAAACTCAAATGAACATAAAAACATAACGTAGGTGTAGGATTCTTTTATTTTCTGCACTTTTCCTTTCCTGAACCTTAGAGGAACTGATGCCTATTTCCACCAGTGTCTGCGGAAGAGGTGGGGTACATCTGGGACAGGTTGCCCCCAGTGCAAGAAAAATTTAGAGTTACAAATGAACCTAACACAATTTTTTGGTTTGTGACGGGACACCAGAGTACCTGAAGAAACCCCATTAGAAAACATGCAGACCTCACACAAAAAGGCCAGGATCTTCAACCACTGCGCTACTGTACCGCCCCTTGTTGAGCAACATTTTCAGTTCAAATATGTATTCTGCTGCCAGGCCACCTAAAGCTTTTTTAAACAAACAAAAGGATTTTAAAATCAACTCTGCATTTAACAGGAAGTCAGTGAAGAGACACTAACACAGGCGTGCTGGTGGCTGTTTGTAGCGTTCTGGACCAGCTGCAGATGGGACAACAGGGACCAGCGTAAAGAGAGTAACAATAATCTAAGCTGAATGTGATGAAAGCTGTAATAACAGTTTTCAGGTGGTTGTTAGAATGAATTCAAGCTTGGAAATGTTCGGTAGAAAACAAATCTAACACCGAGTTAATCTGCTCATTAAATTTTAAATGGCACCTAGATTCCTGGCTTAGGACTGACGATTAGAAGAAAAATGATCTAAATGATCTGAATGTGACTGTGTGTGTGTTTGATATATTAAGATAGTGTGTGTGCTGCATCCATCTGAGGCAGCCACTCTGTGCGTGATATAAATCTTCATCAGTTTCACCATCACATCAGGACATCAAACACCCCACACACTAACATTCAGACACTGGACAGTACTTTTCATTCAGGTTTCTGTGTGTGTGTGTGTGTGTGTGTGTGTGTGTGTGTGTGTGTGTGTGTGTGTGAATGCTGAACTTATTTTAAGAGGGTTCACACCGAGTGTATCTAATATTAACTTTGATGTACACACACAAAGGCATTGAAAACACACTACTCACACACAAACACGCACACTGACGAGTTTCTCTGCAGAAGAGGTGCAGCTTCTTAAAAAAAAAAACAATGGCTTTCATTGTTCACCTCATGGTTATTTAATTATTGTGGCATAACCACAAGCTCCTTTTTCTCTGTTCTTTTTTCCCCTCCTTTTTTCTTCCTGAGTCTTCATAAACACACAAACACACGCTCTCACACAGCAGTTAATTATAAGCAATTAAGCTCAGTCACCCATGGGAGCCATTATATGTATCAGCTTTCTCATTTGATTTTTGTCTGTATGTCTTTGTTTGAGTGCAGTGTTGTGTCACAGGAGAGGAAACAATACAAGTTTGAAACATCCCTGAGAGTCATGTTCTGCCCTCTGGTGGCTCCTGATGCTGATGAAGCATTAAAAAACAAGAARGTGTAATTTATAAAGCAGTAAGTCGAGCTATATGCCCACATCAAGTTAAATAAATGAAAGGTTTTTGTTTTTAAGAGATCATATTATTATAACAATATCACAAAGAAAAGTTATCACTCACTCAGCAATGCCTTTAAGTTTTAGTTTTTCTCAAAAAACAGGTGATGTTACCACAATATCTTGGCACAGTGTCTGGAGTTGGATGATAGTATGGGTGCTGCAGGTTGTGAGGGGTCCCTGGAGCCCCCTSCATGCTTCAAATAGGAATGCATTTGAACTGCTGAGAGTCGTGTAACTTTTCAGACACAGAAAATGTTGTTTTCTGGCCATTTTGTTTATATAGGTTGTTATTCATCCATTGGTAAGTGTAAAAATGAACTGCTCTACTATTATCTGGTGATCAGGTCTAAACCAGTGGTTCCCAAACTTTTTATCTTCTGACCCACAAAATATCCATGGCAAAAACTTGTGACCCCAAATATTTCTGGTCTGAGTACACAAACTTTGTTAATAACCCTAAAAACACAGGCTTTTTGACAATCTAAATAGCTTATTCACAAATACACTTTTTTTTTTTACTTATTTTGTGTTTTTGTAACAATTATAGGGAAAATATTACATCAGCAATTATTTTATTACCC